AGGTCCCCAAATCCTTATCAGAAACCACCAGCTCCTCTTGCCTCAACCACCAAGAAGCCACCTTTCTTGTCTCCTCTTTTCCTGTCTTGCCTCCTACAATCCTATCCCCCCTGAGTAGAGATAGTCTGAAATGCAGCCCACACCTGTTAGGCCCTGCACTAGAAGAGGATCCAGCTCCTCACCCAGGCCTAAGCTGCCCTCCTCACACTACTTGCCCTCCTCCCTCACCAGCCAAGCTCGTTCCCAGCTCTAGCTTCTGCCTGGAGTGCCTTTCCACATTCCACACTCCTCCTCACCACTAGTTAACCTACCTAACTCCTACTTGTCACTTCTTGAGGTTACTTCCTGACCCTCCTAAGTGATATTCGCTCTGGCAGCACCCCAACTTTTCTGTGTTGTGCATTGCCCTCACCATTATCTGCCACTGGCTTTCACACTAATGCAGGACCATGATGAGGGCAGAGCGCTATCTTGTTTACCCCAATCACTTACCCCTTGCTGTCAAATAGCAGGTACTGAGTATGTGACCTGAGGGGCTGCTTAAACTCTCTTTAGTGGCACTCCCTACGTTCAGGGAGCTCTGCTGGCTCAGTGTGTCCTGCTGCCAACCGAAAAACAGGTGGTTCGAATCTATCAGCTGCTCCTCAAGAGAAAGATGGGCCATCTCCTCCCATGTGATTCATAGCCTCTGAAAACCCACTGTAGGGCCAGCTAGGAGTCAATTCTAACTCAATGGTAATGACTTTGAACCTTATCTCCAGTTTAAATTCTACCTACACAGAAGCGTTGGTAGCTTTATGAACTATGCACAATATATCTTGGGTATTTGATGAGGTATAGGAAAAGTGGTTGGACATCAAACTAACTTGACTGTGCATGTGTGAGAATATGTACAACAGAAATCCATGCAACAATTTTTTCCATGGACTGTTCACTGACAATGGTTACAAACTGCATGTGTCATCATTCTCTGTGTTGTTTCGCCACCACTAACCTAGACCCTGCCTCTTCAAGTTCTCATCTCTATCTTAGTATGATTACTGTCATTTCATGTTCGTATAGCTAATTCTCTGATGCAAATCTCAAGGCAGACTTTGTTACTGAGATAAATTGTTTTATCCAAAAATGACTTCATGGGATACACTCAAGGTTCCAAAGTCCTTTCCAAGTAACAGCTCTGCTGGTCCCTTGATGTACCATTATTAAGTCTGGTTCTCACTAGGACTTTGAAGTCCCATTCCACAGCTTTACTCCCTTTGGTCAAGATCTATGGGACCCTTGATCAGAATGTGTCCAGTTAATTGGAGCTAGAACCGTCCATTTTCTTCTGGTCTCATAGAAAGGGAGGTAGCATCTGGGAAGATTTGAAAAAGTCACAGTAATGCCAGAACCCCAAGTCAGACATGAAGCTCAATCTTTGGAGGAAGGGGTCTGGACTGGAGACATGGTTAACGCACTTGGTTGCTAACTGAAAGGTAGGGGATTAAAGAAGAGACTTGACTACCTACTTCTAACAAATGAGCCACTGAGCACCATTTGGCGTGGAGCTTTACTGTGACACACCTGGGGTCACCATGAGCTGAACTGACCCAGCAGCAGCTGGTAGTGGCCGGCATTGGGTACTTGTATTTTAAGTAACTTTCCAGGAGCTTCGGGTATGCATCCAGGGCTAAAGAGCTACATTCATTCAGTGAGAGTGTTTAAAACCTTGAGGAGCTCATCCAGGAAGAGCTCTGTTGTTATGTGCCGTGAAGTTGAAACCAACTCACAGCTGACCCGCTGGTGGGTTTCAGAGGCAGTAAAATCACACTGGAGGAGACTGCTCATCTTTCCCGCCCCCCTCAGAGTAGCTGGTAGATTAAAACAGAATGCCACAGGGTTGGCAATGCAGCTCCTTGGTAGTATGCCAGGGCTATGGGGCAGGATATGTAAGCAACTTTTTCTTTTAATATCTTTATTACACGAAGTATTTGGAAATGTAGTTTAGGGTACTTGCTCTCATCTGAAGGGCAAGGTCCTCAAGATAGTTACATTTATTGGCCACTACTAATAGTGATCTTATTTGAAACAGATGTAAGAGTCTTACAGGTGACATTTAAAATCTCAAAGTATATAGAGTCATCAAGAGACTACCACATACTGTAATTGTTGATATTGTTAGTAAATGAGACTATTTGCAACTCATGATCACCCAATGAGATAGGGTAGAACTATTTCAAAGGGATTTCTAGAAGATGGGATCAGGGTAAGCAACCTTTATAAGAATTATTCACTATTGCAAGAACATGGAAACAGCCCATATGTCTAACTATAAATTAATGGATTGAGAAATTACGGCACATTCACACAGTGGAATACTAAGCAGCACGCAGAAGCAATAACTCTGTAAATTATTACCTAACTTGGGAGGGACTGGAGAGCATTATGCTGAGTGAACTAACTCAGTCCCATAAGGATAAATACTGTTATTGTAGAATGAGTATTACGATGCAGGAGGGGTGGTAGAGGATGGAAGCAGGGGGATATGAATTATAGGGGGAGGGGGGAATTAATCATTGGGTTGTACCATTTGTTGGGTGTGGGCAGTGAGGGAAATTGAAAGAATTTGTTCAAATTTATATTAGAATGTTGTAAATAAACTAGTAAAAAAAACCAATTTCACTTCAACCAAGCCTTCTTCAAATTACTCATTTGTCCTGTGTTGAATCCGTTCTGTTCACCAGGGAAGAAAGGATACTAAGCCAGAGTGGAAAGCATTTTCAAACTTTATTTACAACTGTCACAGTGACAAAAAGTAGTTTGGAAAAAAAAAATGCTAGTTTCTCCCTGAGCCTCAAAAAAGAACAGATAGAAGTTACAGGAGGTTCATCTTACAACAGGCATTTTTACTGAAATACTAGGATTTTGTTTTTTTCAATACAATCAGGTAGAAATACACACAGATTACTTAAAAAAAAATACAACAAATGAGGAGGCCAGACAGGAGCTCAGCCACTTGTCTGAGAGCAGCTGGGTGCTCCGCCCAACTAAATCACTGAGGGGCCTGACTTAGCTGTCACCCCCTGGCCTACTCAGACTCCAAAGGTCGTACAAAGTGGTCTAGGGACCAGCAAATAAAAGAAAAAGAATCATAAATCACCCCCATAAACATACATATACACAAAATAGGTTTGTTAAGCAGTTTACAAGCACATTCCCATCACATGGCAACACTAGGACAGATGAGGAGGAGACATCGAAACACAGGGTTTGGAAAGGCAAGACCCCGTCACAAAGGAGGAGGTGAGGGATGGTGAGTGTCGCGGGGAAGCAGAGTAAGGACTAAAGGCTCTTTGCTGCCAAAACAGAACAAGAGGGAGAGCAGGAGAGAGGCTGGCCCCCACCAGGCAGCTGCAGGCCTCTCCCACTTCAACAAGGAGCTGAAAGAAGTTATTGCCATCATATACAGAGCACAAGCGACGACACAGACGAGGGAGGCAGAGAGGTGAGAGGGAGTAGAAGTCGGTCCCCCAGAAACAAATCCTGTGGCAGGTCAAAACACACTCTAGTTTCCCACCCCACCACTCCCTGCCCCAACATTCTCCAGATCCACACTAGCCTTGAGGTATTAATGCTACTATACACACATGTCCCCAGCTTGGGGGTCAATCTGGCCTGACTGAAGGATGAAGGGTCACAGGTGGACCTTGATTGGCCCAGTTTAACCCAAGGAAGGCCCTGTCAGCCACTTCTTGGTTACATAGTCCTGCTGAGATATAGTTTGGGGAGTACGTCCTGCCCCTGCTGCCCCGGACATCCATCGGTTCTTAACTGCGGTGTCCTTGTATGGAAAGGAGGTGGGCAAGACAGAACCCACAATGCAGTGCAGGCAGGGACACCAGAATACTCCCTTTCCCGTGCCTCCCCACCATTCACATCCTGGAACAACTTGATCCCAGAGCTGTTCTAGGACCTTGTCACCGTCTGCCAGCTGCAGGGACCAGCATTAAACTCCCTCTAACAATAAAAGACAGAAAGGAGCCCTTGCTCCCCATTCCAACACCCAGGAGAAGAGGCCCAGGACCTGCTCTGAGCCATCAGGCAATGGGAATGAGGAGCAGGGCTGAAGAGAAGGGAGGGCTGGCCTGGGGGGGGAAGACCAACTTTGACATCTTAGGAGGGTTCTGAACACTAGTATTCTGGGGAGCAGTTGAAGGAGGACCCTTCGGACTCATGTGCCCACTTCAGGTGAGGGGAGGATGGTGTCACACCCACAGGGGCTGGGCAGCAACAGGGGTGACTTCAGAGCTGGGACCTTCACCACAGCTGGGAGCAGAGAAGAAGGATGAAGGAGTGCAAGGGTGCCCCTTTCCTTGCCAACCCATCACCCCCAGCAGGTCCACAAGGAAGCAGCCACTCCAGCTCTCCCTCCCCCAGTGACAGACAGACACACACACACCTGAAGTCAAAGCAGAGGGTGTGGGGTGAGGGTGGGGTGAGAGAGATGAAGGCTTGGTTTTCTGAGCCTCAGCAACCACAGCAAATGCTGGAGGAGCACTGGCTGCAGCCAGCAGGTTGCTCGGGGGGTTCCTCTCACTCCCATCTTCTCTCCTAGCTTTGCTTTCTCCCCCCCTCCCCAGTGTTCTGCATGCTCCCCCACCTCCTCACAGCCCCCCTAGAATCCCACCACTGCCTCTCTCTCACCCACTGGGACCCAGATAGCGATCTTAAAAACAGAAGCTGCTTTCCCACACCCCCACCCTCTTCTCAGGCGGCTTCTTCCTTTCTGGGAAGGCCTCACAGAGCGTCACAGAGGGCGCCCGCTGCTCGCTCGGCAAATTTCAAAAGAAGAAAACAGAAAAGAAAAGAAAACCAACTCGGTGATAAAACGGAAGCCATCGGCTGACATTTTCAGAACTACCGTGGCTCTCCCTCTTCTTCCATCATGATGGGGGGCAAAAAACCACACAGTTTAGGTCCAGAGGCCGCCTGGTGTCACCCCACGGGCGTCAGCAGTGACTCTACTGCTCCTTGTTTTCTTTCGCTGTCTCTTCACAGTTTTCTTGCTCATCCTCCTGGACCAGAAACTCCTCAGGGGGCCACCGGAGCTCCCCACTCTCCACCTCCCCCTCTGTGGGCTCCACCACTATGGAGGGCAGGCGGTCCTTCAGTTTGCAGCAGCGGTCAAAGTCCGAGGGGTCCGGGAAGATCTACAACATAAGCAGAGGGGGATGCCAGGTCAAGCCAATGCTGGGAGGGGAGGTGGGTGGGAACAGAAACCAACTTGGGTGTCACAGAACCAGTGCCCACCCATGGCACACCTGCCCACCCATGGCACACGCGCCCACCCATGGAAAACCAGAGCATGTCAGGGTAAAACTGTGCTCCACAAGGTTTTAAATGTCTGCTTTGTTGTAAGTACTTCTCCAGGCCTTTCCTCCACGGCACCTCTGGATGGACTTAAACCATCAACCTTTCGGGCAGCAGCTGAGTGCATTAGCTGCACGCACCAGCCAGGGCTCACACATTTGGACAGAGAAATTCCATCCCTTCCTTTCATGAACACATGGAGCAAGGAGAGCAGAAACCCAGCTCAGCCCTCCCCACAGGCCGAGGTAACAGCTTCCTGTTCCAAGTCCACAGGAGAAAATTCTGGACCAGACTTTGACTTGAATCCTGAGCTGAAAGTTTCAAGGACACTGTCACTGAGTCTAAAACACAGTATATTATTTTTGTTCTTTTTGTTTTATTTTCAAATAAAAGACTCTCAAACCAAACCCTATATAGTAAGTCAACTGTTTGCAATAAGCATTTTACTTCAATGGTCCTTACAATGTTGTTATGTGCTGTCGAGTTGCTTGAGACTCATAGCGACCCTATGAACAACAGCCCTAAACCCTACTCTATCCTGTGCCAATCGCACTGCCTCTGACACACACATCCCGATTACCCCAGTCACTGAATCAATCCACCTCACAGAGGGTCTTCCCCTCCTGCGCTGTCCCTCCACCCTCCCCAGCATGATGTCCCTCTCCAAGGACCAGTCCCTCCTTACAACATGTCCAAAGTATGTCAGACGAAGCCCCAGAATCCTTGCCTCCAAGGAGCCGCCCGGTTTAACCCTCTCCAGGATGAATCTGTTTGTTTTCTTGGCAGTCCATGGGTCCTTACAATAGGCACCAAAATATGAAATTCCTTTCACGGTAACATTGGTACTTCATCTAAGCAGGGTGGCAAGGGCTGCAAATAGATTATTTTGAATCAAGGGATCCATGGAGAAAAAAACCACGTATGCAACCCATATCACAGGCTAGAAGAAGTAGGCTACCCGAGATCACACAACCTGGAAAGGAGTAAAGGTGGAGTACAATTCAAAAGCAGGTCTGTGTAATGCCCACGTCTAGACCCCCATACATACCACCCTACCGCTCAAGGAGTCTTGATCTCAAAGCAACCCTAGAAGCAAAAGCAAAGTGGCATTGAGGGCACAGACTCAGTCTCAGACAAGCTGGGAACCAAGTTCAAAGCTCTTCTTTCTCCCATGAACGACTCTTGACTCCTCCAAAATCCTAGACCTGAGTTTATTCCTTTTCCTCCTGTCAACAAAGCTTCGTTTTCTATGATTACTGTGTGCCAGAGCTGGCAGAAGCCTCCATCAGGCTATCAAATCCAGGGCCAAGTCCAGCTCTGTGGACTCCTTTTGCATACACTACCCTGTGACTACAGTTGACCCAGTTCTTCACCCAGCTTAAGTACTTAATCCAATGGGCGGCTGGTCCCTTGCCATTCACAGTACTAGGTAACACACAGGAGCTAGAGCAGGAGCCTCAGAAATCCTGAGAGCCACACAGCCCACTGGGTCATTCACCTTCAAGGCCATTTCTTCCAACCTCTCTATTTACTCGGTGAGAAAATCAAGGCCCAGGGGCCCACGCTAATTGCAAAATCAAAGAAAGTGAAAACTAGAGTGGGTTATTGTTGTTAAGGTGCTGTTAATTCGACCACATCTCCTAGCAACTTTAAGAGGATAGGTGGAGATGTACATTTGCCAAGACACTGGGGATTGCTTGTTTCTCATCTGTCTTGTCAGGTACAGGCAGCAGACAAGTACCTGCTCACAGGATGTCAAAGATCCCTTTGAGCTCCTACAAACTTAGGCCCTCTAAACCCCAACCATTGTTGCCCCACCTAAGTCACGCCCTGACTTACATCACAACATATGACAGTGTGGGGGTTCCAAGAACCATGGACCTCTGTGAAGCCTCTCCAACCCCTCTAGACAAGCGATTATTAACCATTTATCCAATAAAGGTCTATTGCTGAGGATTAAGCCTTAAGCCATCTGCACAACCAGGCGTCATTAAAGACTTAACAAGGCTCATAAAAAGTATCCTAATGGCAACCAGGGGAAAAACAAAACAGGGGCAAAGCTGGAGAGTAGGTCAGAGGAGGCGTGAGAAGCTGACCTCCACCCCCAGCTTTTGGAAGGGTGGCAGCAGTTCTCGGCCAGCCCTAAAAGTCTGCCCTGACTGTCGTGTGAACACAGATCTCTCTGTGTGTGTGTGTGTGTGTGTGTGTGTGTGTAAAGGAGAGAGGCCAAGTAGCCTTTTCTGACCCTTTCTAAGTGGTCTTCATGGGGAGCTTGGAGCCTCTCCCTGGGGGTGAGGACACAGTACACGCCCAACATGAGCTTTGGGAGGGGAACCCCAGTGAATGGAAAGTACGCAATCACGAACAGAGTTCAAGATACCTCCTTGTTTAAGGCCTCCAACGTCCATGGAGCAGTAAGACTTTGTGACTCTGAGAAGCACATGGCCAAGATCTGAATGTGAATAATCATTTCCAGCACTTATACCTTTTGGAAAGTGAACTAGGATGCCCCTGGACCAAGCATAAGTAGAAGAGTGACCAGGGAAGCCAGCAGGCTTTGGCTCTGACTGCCCATTCAGCTGCTAGAGGTCTGAGGTTCAGGCTCCAGAAGGATCACCAGGCAGCCAGGTCCAAAGGTGAGTTTACCCAGGCCTGCATAGTTGTCCTAAATCCTTGAGAGCCAAGCTAGGACTGTGAAATATCAAGAGAGCTGTCCAGACACCTGGCCCAGCTTTGACCCTGGGCCCAGTGCCCTTCCTCCCTGACCTCATTGTCAGGCCCAAGGCTGGGTGTCTTCTGAGTCATGGCCACTGCTACTCAGCTGGGAGAGGTAGCCAATAGGCTAAAACTATGATCACCCTAGCCAAGGAAAAGCAAAGGAACAAGAAGCAGGGCAAGGCCAGCCAAAGAGGGAGGAGGTGGAGTGCATCTGATTTCATTTCAAATTGGAAATAGGCCTATAACTAAAATTAGGGGGAAATTAACATAATGATGATGTTGATGGATGACATGCCAGGCACATTTGCTAAGCAGAATCTCAATCTTCACAAAAATCCTATGAAGTAGTCAGTGGTATAGTCATTCCTCTTGGTATCTGGGAACTGCTTTCAGGATGCCCACAGGTTTCAAAATCAGAGGATGCTCATATAAAATGGCCTAGTATTTGCATATAAACTATGCTTCTACACCTTCTGTAAGGGACCTCTATACTTCTACATCTGCTGTCAGGAACCCCTCCACAGTACTGAAAAGCAATGATGTCATTCTAGAGACTAAGGTGCACTTAATCCAGGTCATGGTCTTCTCAATTACTTGCTATGGATCAGAGAGCTGGACAATGACTAAGGATGATAGAAGAATTTATGCCTTCAAGTTGTGGTGCTGGAGAAGAATCTTGAACATACCACGGACCACCAAGAAAATGCATAGTTCTGTCTTAGAGAGGGTGAAACCAAGTTTCTCCTTGGAGACTAGGATTTTGAAGCTCTGTCTCACATAGTTTGGGCAAGTGGCCAGGAGAGATCAGTCCTTGGAGAAAGGCATCATGCTCAGAAGGGAGGATGGACAGTGCAGGAGAGGAAGACCCCAGATGAGATGGATTGATATAGTGACTGTGGTAATGGGGGTTGGTGTGTCAGAGTCAGTGAGACTGGCTCAGGACAGGGCAGGCTTCAGTGCTGCTGTATATAGGTTGTTATAGGTTGCAGGTGACTTGATAGCACATAACAACATACACCTTTTTTTGTACTGAATGAAAGTCATCTCTAAATTGCTCATAATATTGAATACCATTAAATCCCATGCAAATAGCACTTTAGGCTTTCTCTTAGCCTTTGAGGGATTGGTTTGATCACTTAAGGCTTTAGGGGCATTTCTTTTTTTCATAGAAGCACAAGGTGCACACTTCACAAGCAGCCAGTGAACTAGACTCGAGGCAAATAGTGCTCCCCCAGGGAGTGACTGGAATCAGTGAGACGGCAGGGGCTATAACAGGGATGTCTCCATGTCTCTTCACTTGGGTGCATCTAGAGCAACGCTTGACACAAGTCTCTTGGAGGGTTTTCTAGAATTCCACCCCCTGACTGCTACCCCTGAATATTTCAATCTGCAGTTAGTTGAATTTGTAGATGTGGCACTTACAGATTTGGAGGGCTGACTTTATTATCCCGACTTTAGAGATGAGGACATTCCCACAAAGAGGACAAGTGACTTGCTCAAAGCCACACAGCTAGCAAAAGGCTGGGCCAGGATTCAAACCCAGCCCTGCAGGAATTCAAATTAAGTGCTCCCTCAGGCCACGCCACGGAGCCCAAGAGTTTATTACCTCCTTAATATCACTTGTATAATCACAACCTGTCCTGACTCAGATTCTCCTTTGGAGAAGTAAAAACTTCTTGTCTAACTAGATGGGTACAACTCTTGGCAAATACAAAGATGGTAAAGTGCTTTGATGACATATGTTACAATCAACTTGTAATGTCTTCTTTGGAGTCATTTCAACAGGGCTGCAGTAAGGATCCAATCTCCGAGCAAGAGGCAGTAATACGAACACAGTCATTAAAATAACTCCAAACAATGCCTTTCATACCAGGGGCTGCACAATCAAGTCTTTCAAGTCCTTGGGGAAGTCTGAGCATTGAACTTCTGATACTGCTAGTTGCCAGAGAACTTTGCTCTTTGAATTGCTCAAAGCAGGCGCCAGTTAAAAAAAAAAATTACAACTGCTAATTCTATTTCTTTTAAAGAAAACCCAACCACTGTAATAATTCATCTAACCCACCCATCAGAGATACTATTTTATTATCAGATTATACCAATTTCTGCCCTGGAAAATGGCAGC